GTAAATAAGTAGGTAAGTAAGTAAATAAATAAGTAAATACATAAGTAAGTAAATAAGTAGGTAAGTAAGTAAATAAGTACATACATAAGTAAATAAGTAAGTACGTAAGTCAGCATGTGAAGTAAGCACGTAATTACATAAGTTAGTAAAGTAAGTGCATAAGTAAGTACGTAAGTAAAGTAAGTATGTAAAGGCACTGTCACACTAGACAACTTATGCCGACTTATCAACATTTTAAAGACGTCTACATTGAAGATGGAATAAAAAAAATCAACAGGAAGCTTCTTTTCAGCGTGTACGTAATGTAATAAAAAACTGATCAAATACATAAGTTTTATTAGCAATTAGACATAAAAATGTTTCATAAGTTGGCATAAGTTGTCTGGTGTGACAAGGTCTTAAGTAAATACATAAGTATGTAAAGTAAAGTAAATAAGTATGCAAAGTAAGTAAAGAAAGAAAGTATGTAAAGTAAGAAAAATAAGTGAAGTAATTATGTAATAAGTAAGTACGTAAAGTACTCCACGTATTCCAACATTTAGAAGCTACAACCTGAAATCATGGATCCAAAACTCTACAGGAAGCCAACAGAGTAAATTGTAAATATACTATTTTAACTGCTGTAGAACGTTTTCTAGGCCTGACAAAGTTTTTAAAAGTTTCCCTTTTCCATATTCATTTTAACACAAAGCAGAATACGGTGTCATGGTCATGACAAAAAATGAGTGAAAAGCAGCAAAAACCGKTGGAAAAACTTTGAAATACCCTCAGAAAACCTAGAGAGCTGTTACGTTCGAAAGATTACAACAAAGTTTGATTCACAGGAAAACAAATATTAAAAAAAAGGTTAAAAACTGCAGATAAACTCAATAAAACATGAAGATCAGAGCTGATGATKCTCATAATCATGATATTTGTGGTCACAGCCTGTAAAATGTGCTCCTGCTGCTCTARTTTTTTTCTGTAACGACATCTTGAGGTGAACAACTGAAGCCCCTCACACAGATTAAAGTAATCCAATCCAATCCTGTACGACACAAACAAACAGAAACTCAGATTTAATGTTTCCACAGAGGAGGACTTGGAGAACCTGTGAGGTGACTTCAGGACAGCTGGATGAACCGGGCGACGGGTCAGCAGACGGTGAGCACGAGCAGGTCGGGTCAGTAAACGTTTCCATCCTGTGCAAGTGTGTGTGTGTGTGTGTGTGTGTGTGTGTGTGTGTGTGTGTGTGTGTGTGTGTGTGTGTGTTTTCTGGTGACATTTGGGGGCAATTTTAAGACAAAATGCTGACATTTGTGAACAACTGGTGAATTTGGGGAACTAAGTTGAGGCCCCATTTGGTTTAAATGCCATTGGTGGGTTGGGGGTTGGGTTTAGGACCAAGGTGTGAATTGAGTTTAGGTTAGTTTTAGTGTCAAACCTGTGAGGTTAGCCTTGGGGTTTGTGGTCAGGGTTAGGCTGTAGAAATGTAATGGAAGTCAATGGAATGTCCCCAAATGTATAGCTGGGCGAACCTGTGTGTGTGTGTGTGTGTGACAGAAAGGATAATAGACTGTATAATTTGGCAGCAGCGGTGTGTTTGTGTATTCCAGCGCAGTAGATTTTGCTACGAGCCATGTACCGTGACAAAAGGGTGTGAGTTTCCACTGGCAGGCAGAWGAGTTCAGTGACCCAACAGGAGTTAAAACACAACAGAACAAAGTGTTTACCCAAAGAGATGAGGGGAATAAAAGAAAGCACCAAAGCATCCAAAACTGTAATAAAAAAAACCTTATAGTCTCTCAGTAAAGTGTGCAGATTACCCTTTGATCTCATTTCTTTAAGCCCCAAAACTATTCATAAGAGATTAACATCTTATCTTGGAAAATCTTTTTTTTTTTAAACACAAGCAGCTCAAACATCGGCGCCACAACATGTTTGATTTGTGTACCTGGAGTGTGAGGAGATCTCGCTCAGGTCTCCGATGCTGCCCTCGGTCACGTGACCGGACAAAATGGCCGAAGGGAAGCTCTGCTGCAGGTACAGCTTCCCGTGGTCGTCCTCCGTCAGCCCGTCCTCGTGGTGCTCCGAGACCCAGGCGTGTCCCTGCTCCCCCGCCCTGCCCTGCAGCAGCACCCGCGCTCCGGGGGGCGCGCAGGGATTGGTGTCGATGCCGCTGTCCGTGGAGGCCCCCTTGATGTAGGTGAGGCCCAGCAGCTCCGGGTCCATCAGGTCCCCGGAGCCGAAGTGCTTGTCGTCRCTGTTGCTGGAGGCGTTGCTGGACAGAGTGTTGCTGCTCGAGTGGCTGGAGTTTTTATCCCCCGTCTGGTCCAGGAGCAGAAAAACAAAACAACACAAATGTTTCTTACACTCCTTACTTAACAAGACAAGGAGAGGTTCACCCACGTGTCAAACTCAAGGGTCGTGGGCCAAATGAGGCCCACCACAGCACGTTTTGTGGCCGGCCAGAGCTCTGAAGAATTATTATTCCAAAGAATAAGCTGCTTTAAAGCCAGCATTGATCATAAACTACATCTCCCATWATGCATAGTGAATAGTTTACCCATGTAATGACAGCAACCYATTACTACATGGAGCTGAWCAGCTAAAAGCTAAAATTAGCAAAACAGTTGATAAAAGCTCAATGTACCTAAATTTTAGCTAAAATTRCCAAAAYTTTAGCTAAAACTTAAAGTCTGAAAAACTGTGGCTTAAAGCTAAATTAAGCAAAACCCAAGCAAATACCTAAACATAGCTAAATTGTGGCTAATTGCTAAACAGAAGCAAAAAGTAACTAAGAGCTGAAATTTGTAAACTAGTTGCTAAAAATTAAATTGTAGCTAAATTTGCAGTGTAATATCTTCATTTTGCTGCATTTTCATAGGCTGCTTTTGCAGCAGCCAGTTGTACCGGGAAACTGGAATTTCCCACTTACAAGTCGGATATTTAAACAGGAACGCCCGTCCAGTGGGAATTCTCTGTTGCAAAGTGGGAGGGTTCAGAATTCAAGATGGCACCTACTCACCACAACTCAACAATGAGTAAAACTCTCTTACTTTTACTTTTAATAGTATTTCTATTTTATTTTTTTCACATTTAGTCAGTCATACTCGTAGTACTTTTCAGTGTTTATAAGAGGACGTGTTAAAACGCTGTTTCTATGCAGGAAATACCAGATAGAGCTGTTTGAGCTTTGAAAAACATCAGATGTGTGTCTGATTTAGTACCACATACCAAAAGGACCTGGGTCAGGGTTAAAAAACATAAAAAATCAGATTTGACATGTTTAAACGGACAGGAAATAAATCAGAAACGGATCGCATGGGTCAAAAAAAATCAGATTTGGGTCACATTTGCCTGCAGTGATTGTAGCCTTTGACACTCCTGCATCAGGCTCTTAGCAGGAAGTAAAAAAATATAAGCAGAACTTTAGTTCTTCTGTTTTTTATTTAATTACATTGTTTAAAGGGGTGGTTTGACTATTTACTGTATCAAATAATACAGGGAAGGAAGGCCAAAGCTGAAGCAAATACAAGTGATTTTTTTAAGTGAAATATGCTAAAAATGTTGACTAAGCAGAACAGATCCTCTGGTTCAGAAGTGATAAATAAAACATTCCCTCAGTGATGCCGTCCTGCAAACATAACATCTTTAATTATTGAGCCSTTACTAAAAAACAAGTTGCCAATCRATGGTTAAAGTTTGATTRAATGTCACGTCCTCAGCTGGAGACATTTACCCTGGACAGCTTGTTGGGCGAGTCTTTGCCTCCGTCTCTTTGTTTCAGGGGGTTCAGGATCTTGGTGGAGGGGATGTGCCACTTCGCCTCTGCAGAGAAACACGAGAACCGACCACAAGTCAGAAAGAACGCGTGTGGAAAGACTGGGAACTGCAACAACTGCAGGTTCTGTCAACCAGGAGGAGGACAAATTYATCAAAGCTACTAAAAATGAGTTGTTTGAGTCAAAACAAGCAGAGCTGAACTAAAACAAGCTAAAAGGAACTAAAAGCTGGAATTAGCAAAACAGTGGCTAAAAGCTAAATGTGGCAAAATTGGTAGCTGAAACCTAAACTTTGCTAAATTGTGGCTAATGGCTAAAATAAAAAAAACAGTTGCTACGAGCTAAAAATAGACAACTTGAAGTTAAAATGAACAAAGATTAGAGCCAAAAATCTACAATGTTTTAAAAACTTTAGCTAAATAAGTAAAATGAGCAAAACCATAGCTGAGGCTTAAACTTAACTAACTTGTGGCTAATTGCTAAAATGAGCAAAACCATAGCTGAGGCTTAAACTTAACTAACTTGTGGCTAATTGCTAAAATGAGCAAAACCATAGCTGAGGCTTAAACTTAACTAACTTGTGGCTAATTGCTAAAATGAGCAAAACCATAGCTGA